AGCTGGGACTAACACCACCTCCCTCGCCGAGCTGAGTATGAAAGCAGATGATGCCAGGAGCTGTGGGCACAGGGCCCGAGCCCCCCCCACCCCCAGCACTCACCGTGAGAGACGAGGACTAATGAAGGAGGGGCTCCCGGACTCAACCAGGGCGGGCACCGTCCACCCGGCCCTGACTTTCAGGAATAGCAGCTAGTTAGAGAGCGGATGGGACCGGATCGAAGGAACGTACTGACAGCGACTCTCAACACCACCCCTGCCACACACCCTGAGCAATGAGCGGTCTCCCAGGAGGTGGTGGAGGATCCCACAGACTCCTGCCAACCCCTCAGGCGACAGAGGCCAGGGCAAAAGCCTCTTGCAGTGCCAGGCCAGGACTAGGGAACCAGCATGCGGGGGGGGGGGGGGGGGCACAGAAAACACACACACACACACACTGCTGAGAACACAGAAATAAAGGTTTGAGCCTCAGAACACAGGTTACAGTTCTGTCCCCTACTGGCTATGTGATTTGGGAGAACAGTTAGCCTGTGAGCCTCATCATGCCCTATAAGATGCACTTTAAGAACAACAATAATATCTAGCAATAAGGTCATTGGAAACATTACCTATGAAGGATGTTGCATGCTACATAAAAAATAGCCTCCCATCCAAACATGACGTAAAAGGCTTCATCGTGCCTGGGAGCTGCTCTTGAACCATGGAGAGCGCCGGTGGGCTTTGAGCTGGGGTCCAGGCAGCTCAGCCCCGGCCACGTGCCTCGGGCCTTGGCATGCCTGGTTAAGGCTCCTGATTCACAAACCGAGTGGCTGACCTCCTCCCAGAAAGACAGGATCCGCAGTCCCGAAGGTCTGCTTCAGCCCAGCTCAGGGGCAGTGCGGAGTCCTTGACGATTTCAGAGCCAAGGAGAGCCCCAGAGGGAGCCTGGGAAGCCACCTGAGGACCTTAGAGACCAGGCCCCGGTCCCACCTGTCGATGGTAACCCCAGGGACCAGCCAAGGTCCTCATCCCGGCACCCCCCACACCCAGGGCTCCAGACACACCCTCTGCAGCGTCCAGCATCGGTGCCTCAGAACGACAGAGTGGACAGCAAACACACGGAGAAAGAGGAGAAACTGGAGTTCCAAGATTCATAAGTTAGCCAACCTGGCTCTCAAACCCAGATCCTTAACTTCAATCCAGGGCTTTCCCTCAAACCATGCAGCCTCGGCCACAGGCATGCCCCCCCAAGTCAACGATTCCATCAGCCCGGCTGAGGGTTCCCGGCAGCAGCGTGGCTGCTTCTGCATCAGCCTGGCCCACCTCTAGAACCCCCAGGGCCTTCTGGATCCGCACCCTATGGGAGGGTGCCGGTCTCTGAATCTGCTTCTCGTGCCTCGATGCCCCTCCCAGCACTCTGACCGCCACTGGGGAGGGAATCTCAGACCCCCCCCCCCAAGGTCACTAGCACTGAAGTCCGAGTTGCTTTTTGTTCTACTAGTAAGAGCCTGACGGTGACCCAGGCTCCCAGCTGTGAGCAGGTACTGCTCACAAGTGCGTGGTGTTCGTCTGTCTGAGAACTCACACTCCTGCCTGAGCCGTCGGGGGAGCCCGCCCAGGGCAGGGGTCCTCAGGGGGGAGCCCACTCCGCTTCCTCTCAAGCCGTGCACACCCAGGGGCCTGCTCCCTGGTCCTGTTCAATGCCATCTGCAGTGCATGCGTTTGGACTTGCTGCGGAGACAGGGCACCCGCAGCTGTTGGAGCTAAAGGGCTGAGGCGCTGTTGCGTTTACGTCGAGAGAATCGCAGCCTCCCCAACGCTCTCCTGATACAGGGGGCAGTGTAAACAATGACTTTTCTTTCCAAGGGGAAGACCCAGTTTTCAAGGTGAGGGGGGAACACAACACACCACAGGCTGCCGCCACTAGACGCCGGAACCACGCTGACCCCTCGGCCACCTCAACTCCAGACCTAAATTTAGCAGCAAGCTCCACAAGCCTCGGGCTCTTCTCTTCTCTTCTGATTGCTCCCCTCCTTTGACAGTGGGCTCCCGCTCTCCCTCCCACGAGGCCCAGAAAAAGCGAGCTCCAGGCCCCTCTCCAGGCTGACCTTTCCAGAAGGGGGTTGGAGTGGACAAAGGGGCCAGGTTGGCTTGCTTCTGAGCATGGCAAGCGGACAGAGACACGGGCAACAAGTGATCAGAGTCAGCGGCTTCAATCCGGTTCCCCCAGCTGGCAGTGAGGGCCCCACCCCTACATCCTGAGTCAGTTACTCAGGGGTGGTGTGGGGTGGGGGGCTCAGTGTCTGTGACGATCCCTCCGAGATGATTCCCCCTCACGGCCATGGCTGCCCACCTCTGGGCCCGATGACCTTCAGCAAGGACATGGGCCCGTAGACGTCCTTGGCTGGAGCTCACTTTGGTCAGCCGGGTGATGACTGCCTACAGGGAGTGTCAGTGGTGGTGGACGCACCTGTGCCTCTGGAACACGAGGGCAGGTCGAACAGGGGCCTGGTGACGTGGGGGGAGTTTGCACAGGTCAGCAGGAGAGCAGGTGAACAGGGAGGAGGTGGCACGGGCCCCCTCTGTGACGGCCGGGAGTTTGAGAGGCAAAAGCTGCTTCCCAGCTGCCCCCTTCTGCCATGACACTCAGGTGGTGAACGGAAGGGAGGGGTGAAGATATAGCAGCGTCATCCAAATGCCCTTCAGGTAACTCATTCAGGCTCCTGAGCAGAGGGACCTGAGGAGCTGTGATCACGAAACTTAGCACAGTGTGTGGCCAGCGGCGAGGTCCCGAGCCAGGCTACTCAGCGTGCACTGGGGTCCATGGCATCTCAGCTCTGTGTCCCGGGGCAAGTTCCCGTCCTCTCTGCACCTCGTTTCCCTATACGGCTATCCTGAGGACCGACTGAGTTTAAAGCTTGGGGCACATATTTTGGGAGACTTTCTCCAGCTGAAGCCCAACCCTGGCGGGAGGCACAGAGCCGGCGGGGTCCCGGGAGGCAAGGGCAGGACTGTGTTGAACCGCCGGTGTCGGAAGAGCATTACTACCCCTCCTATGCACGAGGGCAGGAGGGGCAGGGAAGCGGGGCTTCCCCGGTCTTACCGTGTTCGCAGGGAGGCCGACACCCCTCGCTCGCTCCTGACTGCTCACCGCGGGGGCCACTTTCCCAGGGATTCCACTAACAGGGACCATGTCATCGCCGACGACGGCCCGCCAGGTGTTTCCGATCACCTCGATGATGGAGGTCAGCGGGAGGGCTAGAGGAAGCCTGAGGTACCAGGAGGCAGCGGCCGGACCATCGATACAGCTGGTGCCGTCTGAGCGGATGGGCATTTCGGCCTCGTGGGTCTGTCTGGACAGATGTTGCCTAACAGGGATAAGCAGGCTGACCCCTTTCCTCGGGAGCATTTCGGAGACTCGTGCAAACTATTTCCACGTTCCGGGTGTGGCTGGAGGTTCGGGCAGAGCCCGCAGTCCTGGGGTAGACAACGGGTCGGGAGTCTGTTTATCACAGGGCTGCACCCCGGGAGTGGAGGTGAGGTCGAGCCCATGATGGCGACAGACCGCAAGGTGGCCCGACAGGGCGGGGAGGAGGTGTGGAGACCGCCCCAGTCCGCTGCCCGGCGAAGCGCCACATGCCCTGTGCCCACCGCCCTCCGGCCTTGACAGCACAACACGGAAACGGACCTGAGGCAGCCCTTGCAGCCACTTACACTGATCCAAACGATTCCTTGCAACAAGGACTTGTCCTCTACAGCATCTCACCCACCTAGCCCAACTCTTCTCATGGCACATGGACACCCTTTCCCTCCTCCAGACACTGGCTGGGGCCGAGGTCAGACCCCGGCCTCAGCGGGACCCTCTGACGCACCCTAGACACTGAGCTCGTCCCCCAGCGCTGCCTGAGCTGTTGCCCTGGTTTGGACGTGACGTGGCTCTCGGGGGAGTGAAGTCCAGAACTCACAGCCTGAGCCTCCGCCTGGGCACAGGCTCTTGCAGCCGGCAGCGGGGTCCCGCCCCCTGGGAACCCCTCCTGTGCTGGTTTCCGGGGTGCTTGCTAGCCGCACCCTCGCTGGGAGAGGCCCAGCCTGCCTCTGACAAGTGTCCATGCAGCTCTGCTCACCACCCCCGGTGCAGGGGTTCCACACCCTTCACGTCCACGCTGTAAGTCTGGGGGCCCTGACGTGTGAAGGCCTCAGTCCTGGTACCGACCATCCGGGAAGTCACACCTCACAAACTGTCCACAGTCACGGGGGAGGGGTGACGTTTCCTGGCCCCTACAGCCTCAGACACACAACCTCACAAAACACTCAGCAGCCTCAGAAGGTGAACACACGCCCTCCCGTCATTCAGGACACAGGTCAGGGGGAGCAATCTGCCCAAAGTCGCAGGACTAAGGGAGGCTTCGATCCAAGGCCACCTCCCCTGCCCCAGGGCGCCTGTTCCGGCCCTCAGCACTCCACCCCCCCAACGCAGCTGCCCCGCCCCCCACGCAGCTGCCCCCACCTCCCCACGCAGCTGCCCTCCAGCTCCCCACGCAGCTGCCCCCACCCCCCACGCAGCTGCCCCCCACCCTCCCAATGCAGCTGCCCCCAACCCCCCACGCAGCTGCCCCGCCGCTCCACGCAGCTGCCCCACCTCCCCCCACGCAGCTGCCCCCCTACGCAGCTGTCCCCGCCCCCTCCACGCAGCTGCCCCCCGCCCCCTCCACGCAGCTGCCCCGCCCCCCACGCAGCTGCCCCCACCTCCCCCCACGCAGCTGCCCCCCCCCCACAGCTGCCCCCACCCGCCTGCCCTGCCCGCCGCGCTCTCCCTGCGGAAAGGCAGCTCCGGGAACAGGAGGAGACTCTCCCTCAGTCAGTGACAACGTGTGAACATGGCAGCTCATCATCGATGTGCATCTTTATTTGCAATTTGCCGAACCACTGAGAACCACCAGCAGGCACACGCTGCCTCTGGAAGAGCACTCGGCTCGGATGCACCTGTGCCCCCGGGCCGGGACGAGACCGCGCGGGCCGGGCTCACACCCAGTGCCGGCTCGCGCCCAGGGCCGTGCTGAACGTCCGCAGGGCCCGATGCGTCCCCCTCGCGGCCAGGAGGAGCGACCCAGCTTCGGCTTCATGGCCGGCCTCCCGCAAGTGTCCGGCCAGCTCCTCCGCGTCCCAGCGCCCCGGCTGAGGGCTGGCCAAGAGGTGCCGGACGAGGTGCGGGTAGAAGGGCGTGGAGACGCACCTCACCAACAGCTTGGCATCCAGGAGCAGGGACAGGACCTCCTGGTCACAGTTTGAGTCGTTCACCTGCGAGGGAAGAAACAGACAAGACGACAAGACGTGAGGCCGGCACTGCGCACCGCCCACTGCGCACGGCCCTCAGCGCCCCCTGCAGGCGCGCCCTGCCCGCCAGCCCTCAGACACACCTCTCCCCTGCGCACCGCCAACTGCGCACAGCCCTCAGCGCCCCCTGCAGGCGCGCCCTGCCCGCCCGCCTTCAGACACACCTCTCCCCTGCGCACCGCCAACTGCGCACGGCCCTCAGCGCCCCCTGCAGGCGCGCCCTGTCCGCCCCACGCGCTCAGAAACACCTCTCCCCTGCGCACCGCCCACTGCGCACGGCCCTCAGCGCCCCCTGCAGGCGCCGCCCTGCCCGCCCACCTTCAGACACACCTCTCCCCTGCGCACCGCGCTGCTCCCCAAGCAGCTGTGGGCGTGGGCCCCTCGGACACAGCCAGCAGGAGGCACAGCACACACCGCGATGCCCACGGAACTACGGCCACGCTCCCACACCCGAGCATCAGACCATGACCTAACTGAGTCTTCCAGGCAGCCTCTTGCCAGCGCCCCCAGAAGTCTCGGATGGGATGTGGGGGTGTAAGGGCCCTGCTTCACGGCGTGGTCAGGGCACCACGGGCCCTGAACCCGAATCGGGTCAGCCTCGACCCCCGGCCAGGCTATGCACAGCCACGTGGGCCGTTTCACTCGGTCTCTCACCAGGGTCCATGTTCTTGAACCCCAACACTGCCCTGGACATAGGCCCAAGAAAAAGGTGCTTTACGGAACAAGAAAATCCTCCTCCTCCCCCGAGGAAACGTATCCGACAACCCCACGGACGTAAACAGGACGACGTGGGCTCGAGCAGCTCAGCGCCACGCCCACCCGGTGTTACGGGCTCCTCCGGCTCGTGTGTTCCCTGCTGTCCCCTGGTCCTGTCTTCCTAGTCCGAGTGGTCCTCCACGGCCCTGGCACTTGCTTCCACTTCCTATGACTGTCCGCGCTGTTGCCGGAAATCAAGTCAGTACCGATCGTGGACCGAAAGTCAGCGCCCACGGACGCTGTGTCCTCGACAGCCCGCCACGGGCTCTTCCCGACGTCACGGTGGTCACGGTGCACTTGGCCACTTCGGAGCAGGAGGCTCGGACCAGCTGCAGGTGAAGCCGATGGCCGATGGCCAATGTCCAGAGCGGCGGCGCAGACGGACGCACACGCCGTCCGCGCTCTGCGCCAGGGCGGCTCCCAGAGGCTCGGCTGTGTCCACCGGACGCGAGAATCGGGCAAACAAGTTCGGAGAGTCAGGGCCCGGCACTCGGGGCCAGTGCCTGTCTCCCCTGTAACCTAGGGACCCCCACGACCCAACACCAATGTCCACTCCCAGGGCGTCCTCGCGGTGACCTCTGCTCTGAGCCTCTTGGCCAGGCCGACCCCTCCCTCCACACCCCGAGCGGCGGATCCGCCTTTCCACGCCCGTGTCCCAGGCCGGGGGCTGCGGGCGGAGCTGTATCGTCCCATTTCGGCACCCAGTGTTCGCCACTGTGCGAAAGGGCCGAACGAACTACGATACTGAACGGATACGGTCAAGGCTCAGTTCGCAAGACCTGGTCTCTGCGGAGAATCTGAGCCGAGGGGACCGGGGCGGAACCGTCTCTGCGAACCCTGGTCTCTTCCATTTCACCCACTCGTGCCTACGGCTCGGCACCTGACCCGGGAAGGCCCGGGGGAGAACTCAGCGAGCACTTTGTGTGTGTCTTTCTTCTCGGCGGCTGGAGGCAGGAGAAGCACTTGTACGAAGATGAGCTTTTCTGCGGAAAGGGACACTGGGGCACCGTACTCCCCCTGGGGGTGGCTCATGAGCTCTGCGCGCGTTCTTTCCTTCACTTCCTCGCTCCACAGGTAAGAACCAAGAACCCCAACCCCCAGGGGCTGTCCTCATCAGAACGTCCAGCTGCAGGGTCTGCTGGCCGGCACTTCTCTCAGCCTTGGAAGATCCGCCTGGACGGTTACACTCTCCTTTGACAGATGAAGAAACAGGCTCACCGGTGGGTCACTTGTCGAATGACATGACTGGCGAGCTGGGACTAGTGTGCTTGTTTGTCCCCCAGGACAGGAGCTCCCCCGGAGCAGAGGTCTCGTCTCCCCCGTTCACACCTGCCACCCCGCCCAGGACGCCGTGGGCCGCGGGCCGCGGGCTGGAGCTCAGCAAGATCTGTGGGGCAAACCCATGAATGATGGAGAGGCTGCAGAGTTCGCACCCTCGCACCACACACCGCTGCCCCCAGTCACTGGGGGTGTTGTTACTGTGATTCACCCTTAAAATCGAGACTCCCCCGCCTAACCCTCGGGAGAACAGCGCGCGCCAGGATGCTGCAGGCAGGCGTCTCACAACGCAGTGGATAAAAGGCTCGGAATCCAGAGGCTGCAGGGCTGGCACCTCCTTGGTTGCCCTGAAGAAGTCTTCAAGGCTGGGGCACCTTTGTTATTCCTCCTGTTACTCACTAGCCCTCCCTTCGGGGTGATGGATTTTTCCAGCTCGAGGGAGACGGGCTCTGCGCCCAGCAGCGGCTGCTCCTCTCGCCCCCTCTCCTGTTCCTTTCTTCCAGTGCAACGACATCCTCAAGTCTCGGTCTCCCCAGGTCGGCGCCCAGCCGGTGGAGCAGCTGCAGGGGCGGAAGGGAGAGACGGGGCGGCTGCCTTCCAAACGCTCTCTGCTGTCCTGGCTGAGGATGCTTGAGGTGAAGTCACGGACGTGAACTCGTGTCCCCTGTGGCCCTGCCCGCTCAGAGGCTCCCGAACGTAAGACCAGCACCTCCCGGAGCTGGGGCAGCGGCCGCAGAAAGGTTGGGGTTACGGTTTGGTTTGGCTTCTCCTACTCAAGTGCTGAGAAAATGGCAGTGGCTGACTTTCTACCTGGTTCTCACTTTCTACCTGGTTCTGACTCTTTAGAAGATGCACAGAATGGCCAGAGTACACTTTATACTTGTCATGTGCAAGAAAAATACCACATGGACAAAATTCTGTGCATATTTAAGTCAAAAGAGAGAATGAAAGAATACAGAAGTGAAGAGGGGCATTTGTAAGGACCTTCTCCAATGCCCGTTCGAAGAAGAGGGGCTGGGTGGGACTCAAGGAAGACAGGAGCCCAAGGTCACAGGGAGCCACAGCTGCCCCTGTGCGCACCCTGGCGGCCAGCCCAGCGCCAAGGCCAGACGAGGGCCTCTCCTCAGGTCAGCAGAGCCCGGGTTGATTCATTTGTTAAGCCTTAACTTGTCTTCATTTCTCTTGTTTTTTGGCTCAAATTCTAACTTAAGGCATTAACAGTCTGCTACTAACCACTGCTCATTGTAACCTACTTTCTTTCCCTTTTTGAAATAAAAAGGAAACAAGACAAGAAGAGAAACGACACCGTTTCAGAAAAGAGAGAAGCCGTCTGCATCTGGATCACCACTGGACATCCTATCCCTGCCTCTTGTAATCACTCAGGTGCAGAGACTTTTCCACAATCACGAGATACTTGTCTTCTACTTTCCTCGCTGTATGTTAAGAATTTTTAAAAATGTTTTTACAGTTTTCATTCTTAAAAAAATTAATGGCTGCCAAGTAGTCTATTCAATGGATGTAACAAGTTCTTTACTGTCTACTACAGATATTTCAGCTAGTTTTGTTGGATAATATTGATACGCTACAAGTGAATGTTTTTATGCATATACATTCTTTATTTGAATCATTTCCTTAGGATTAACTATCAAGCAGAGGTATTACCGGGATGAACCATACCCCCAATTCATATGTTGAAGTCCTAACCCCCAGTACCCCAAAATGTGACTGATTTGGAGACAGGGTCTTTAAAGAGGTGATTAAGGTTTAATGAGTCATTTGGGGGGATATTAATCCAATGTGACTGGTGTCCAAATAAGAAGAGGAGGTGCACACACACACGAGGCCTGAGGCAGCCGTGTGCAGACCCAGGGAGAAGGTGCCGTCCTGGGCCAAGGAGAGAGGCCGCAGGAGAGACCAGCCCTGCCGCCACCTTGATCTCAGACCTCTGGCTCCAGAGCTGAGAGCAAACAGTGCCCGTTCCAGCCACCAGCCTGTGGTCCTTTGCAGGGAGGCCTGAGCAGACCACTGCACGGGGCGCGGTGTCTGAACCCCTTCGGCCGTGGCCCCAGTGCAGCCACTGGAGACGCCCCGTGTGGGTCGCGGGTCGCGGGTCACCACTGCAGGGCTGTCAGCCTCACTGCCAACTCTCGCTTTGGGTGTTACTATTTGAAAAGAAAGTCATTTTGCTAACTTAGGGTGTATGTAACGGTACCTCCAAGGTGCTTTCATTTGAATTTGCTTATTTGCTAGGATGGGTTTTTTCCATAGACTTCCTATCGTTTTTATCATTTCTTGTGGGAAGAATCAAACAGACCCTTTGCTCGTCTACTAACGTGGTTAACATCGTTCTTCTGCACATTAAGTTCTTTGTGTAACTTAAATATTAACCTGCTTTTAGTTACAGTGAATATTCCAATCTGTGGTTTACCTTTCTGTTTTGGTTATTTGTTCTTTAGAAATTTTACATTTTTATATCGTGAGAAAAGAATCTTTTCCCTTATTTCTTTCGATTGCTTAAATTTAGAAGTTATACTCCCTTGGAGGATCTGATGTGTGTGTATGTATATATATATATACACATGTACATATACACATGTGTATAACCTGTGTGTGTACATGTGTGTATGTGTACACGTGTGTATACATGTGTGCATGATGCACTGTGTACACGTGTGTGTATGTTTCACACACGTGTTAAGCGCACATGTGCATATACATGTGTGCATAGTGCACATGTGTATACACGTGTGGATACGTGTGTGTATGTGTGCGTGTGTATATACACACACGTGTGTGCACGTGTATGTATATACACACGTGTGTGCGCGTATATACACACGTGTGTATATATACACGTGCATGTATATATACGTGTGTGTGTGCGCGTGTGTGTATGTACACGTGTGCGCGCACGCGCATAAAATTTTCTGACAGAAGGCAGAAAACATCTGCCTTCTTAATCGATCTGGAATTACCCTGGTCACAGGCAGTGGAAAAGCACGTAGCCCTGACCTTGGCTCCATCGACGCATTAAGAGCTTGAAGAAGAAAATATAATCTGTCATTTTCGGACTCAGTTGGATGCTTGAAACAGCTACGGACAAGCCCAGGAGGACACTCACCTAATTCCCTGACGGCTAGCTCCGAGTCAGTGAGAGCAGAGTGGCCCTGGGAAAAGGGATAGGCTGTGGGGCCACGGACCCACCTCCAATCCTGGCCGACACGCTGAGGGCACCTCTCTGGGCTCCCGTTTCCACATCTGAGGTGCAGACAACCTGTACGGGTGGCGGTAGCTGATGCCCGCACAAGGCCTGCAGAGCTCAAGTTCAACGAGTGCTGCAGCTGTTCCAGTCAAAGGAATCGGGAAGCACCCGGGCAGGAGGCGCTGGCCACCGCACCTCAGCCATCCTCTGGGCGTCAGTGAGTAACTCTGAGAACAAAGGAAGCTTCGTAGATCTTGGGAAGAGATCTATGAGAGCACAAAGCACGGCTGTCTCCCAGGCCATTAACGTGTTATCTGCGCGGTTCCTGTTTCAACAATAGGTAATGAACCTTCTCTGAACTGAACTCTGATTTTTATGGATCTGTACGAAACTAAGAGTAATTACAGTAGTGAACTGAGCTGAAACTCCAGTAGCATAATGTATGCGGGACCTCGTTTCAATTACTTCAAAGAAGATTATTTAATAGTATCTTACTGTTTAGGAAAGGATATTTGTCTTAGTGTTACAATTACTAATTACTAATAAAGTCAGTAAATACATCAACAACAAGGGCAGAAAGATAAAAGGGCCACACAAGTGTGCACTTGGAATAAGAAAAACGCCTGTGGATGACTTTGTGTCCCTCTTCATCTGAATGCTATTCAGCCCCACCCGCACGGAGCTTAGCAGTATTCCTCTTCTGAAACCAAAGTAAGGACACATCGCCTGCCTTAAGCCAACAGTGGGAGAGGCTTTGGACACCCAAGCCTGACCGCCTCTGTGACCACCAGCAGACCTTCCGTCTCGGGCTCTGACTTTGCCCAGTGCCACTCTGGACGGACACCCATCCTCCTTTGCTCACTTCCTTGGTGTCACATGTCCATCCTCCCGTGAGGCGGTCCCGGTTCCCAGCGATGGCACCTCACTGCCTCCGCACACACCCTGCCCGTTCCTCACTCCCACGCCCACCAGGCCTGCGTCTGTCCGCACTGAGTGACTCCAGCAAACTCCCGTGTGCCTACAGGGAGTGAGCTGCCTGTCACCAGAGGCATCCAGCTGGGAGTTCTGTGAGCTCTGCGGCTGCAGGGCCTCCTCCATCGAGAAGACCAACCACAGGCTGAGGATGAATGGTGATGGGTTAAAGTAACAAATCTAGGTCTGTGCAAGACAAAATGATATTTAGAAATAAATAGGCCCAAAATTCGGAGAAAAAGAGCCTGGTACTAAAAGAGCCCAAGGAACAGCGACTGTAAGAAGAGGTCACTGTATTAAGAGCTGGTAATGGGGCGCTCATCCCCTTCTCTCCATGTAACTGGACCGCGTCAGCTGGCTGGGTTTGGTACAATTAGAAGGAAACCTGCCCACCTCAGGGCTAAAACCAAAGGGCTGCGCAGGCACCAAACCAGGCTGCTGGGACCCCGGCAGGGCAAGAGGAGAGGGAGCGAGCCGAACGTGAGCGTGGAGAAGGCGTGCCGAGGGCCCCGCATGCGGGACAGGCTCGCGCCAGGGGAGCCGAGTTCGTGGGAAATCTGGACACCGTCAGAAGAGGAACAAGAAGGATCCAGTTTTACACAGAGATGTTCATCCAAGTTTGCTTTTCTGAGGCTCTCGAAGGCCCTCCCTCCAACCCAGACACTGGTCCTTGTACAGAGTGTCAATAGGTCCGGGTGCCTTGGTGGCATGATCAACGGGGATGAGAGTCCAATCTATTAAAAATGTGCAGGCCTGGCCCGTGGAGGCAACTAACTCTGAACAACTCCCCAGGGCAGGCGAAGCTCACCGAGGTGGAGAAAGGGTGCAGCCTGCGGTCAGAGGCGCTCTCCTCCCACGAGGTCTACAGCTCAGGGGCTCAAGCCGGCCTCGGGGACTGGGAAGGGAGGCCCTGCACTGGGTAAGCCGCTAGTCGAGCTCTGCGATCGTCCTCTGTGCCGTTAGTATTACACGGCCCGAGATGCCTGCAGCAATTCACTTCTCTGCGGAGATCACCCTTTCCCAGCACAGTGCAGCTGCTGGTCACACTGAGAGGCAGCGCGGTGGAGTAGACTTTGAAGGCTGGCCCCGCGGTTCAGTCTCAGCCCTGGCTGCTCACCAGCTGTGTGACCCGAGCCTCCGTGTTTTCATCTGTGAAGCCAGAATGCTGCCTTCTCACAGGCGAGTAAGAAGATGAAGTGAGGATGTGCCTACTGTAATGCCTGGCAAAAAGCTGTTCCTACAAGATGGCAGTTATTATTAGCATCAGGGAGGAACCCTTAATTGGGTGGTAAAGGTCTTAAGGGCTTCCTTTGCACCCCATGAATTGCTCTCCTAACAGGCCCACCCAGGGGGGTGGGGGTGGGGGCGGGGCAGAGGCCCTGAGCGGTACCAGAGGGAAGGCGAAGCCAGGATCTGGCTTTATAAACAAGACATTGTCAGTGTGCAAAACTGTTGAAAACACAATCTGCTTACTTCCATAAGATGAGCCAAGGACCTCCACCTGGTAGAAAACATGCCAGAGACGAGCTTCAAAAGCACAGGCAGCGAAGCCCTCTCTGAGAGAAGGCGCTTTGAAGGTGAGCGCAGGGCCGACCTGGCAGTCCACACCCTACGGGGTTTTAATTATTCATCAGCCCCATGAGCTCAAGGACTTTTTGTGTGGGTCCTGGAAAAGGCTGTTGGCCGTTTGTAAAAGGTCACTCATCCCCAGGGAGCTGCAGGCTCGAGAATCTCAGAGAAGATGAGAACAGCTTCCGGAGGAGCAGCCAGAAGGAGCTCTGCCGTGGGCCCCTGCGCATCATCCTGCGAAGAAGGGTCGGTACCCGTCCGCACGGGCAGCAACGCACGCTCTCAGCCAGCACACCGCGTTCTCCCGCCGGCCCGCGCCCTGCACATCATCCTGCGAAGAAGGGTTGGTACCACCCGCACGTGCAGCAATGCAGGCTCTCAGCCAGCACGCCGTGTTCTCCCGCCGGCCAGCGCACCCTGCTTGAGCGGCTGCCCATCAGCAGCCCCAAGGACACTCAGGCTGGAGATTCCTATGGCGCCTGTCACCCTGCCTGCAGCCAGGCCCTCACCATTCACCAGCAGGTGACCAAACACACACGCCCAGGCAGAGAAGACCGGCCTGAGCCAGGAGTTCTTACAGCACGAACGTCCAGGGCCAGCACTGGTCCCACACACCCGGGCTGCTGACACCTTCCTGAAGGCTCAGTGCGCTGCTTCTCTGGAAACAGCTCTGGCCTCTGGACTGACAGTCTCTGCACCTGAACAGAGTCTAGTGTCGTCTGTGTTTCTAAACCAGAGGAGTTCAGTAAATGTTTGCAAAATAAACAAATACCCGCTTCTTACACAAAACAGATCGCTATTGTGGTCAGAGAACACGGGACGAAACAGTGGATAAATCACGCATTATTTACGAGAACCGCAGCGCCCGCGCCCGTCTCCGAGGGGGCAGGAGGCAAGCCCACAGTACCTGTGTGACGGCGGTGACCTGCCCCAGGGCCACGGCGTGCAGGTGCTCGTCCTCGCTGTCCAGCAGCAGCTTCAGGGCGGGGAGCAGGAGGGCCTGGCTCTGCAGCAGCGCCGACAGCTCCTCCACACACTGAAAGCACAGCAGGTCGGGTGAGTGACGTTGGGCTGGTCTCCACACCGTCCCTGTGCGGGTCTAAGCCACACGGCACCCTGCCGACTCAGGCTTGGGACCTGCCTCACTCATGTCACCCTACACTGTGAACACCTTTCTGAGCTCAGACCTTCCTCTGTGACAGCACTTTTCTTTTCTTTAATCCTCACCCGAGGATATTTTTCCTTTTATCATCAGATAGAGTGGGAGGGAGAGAGAGATAGACAGAAACATGAATGAGACAGAACATCGATTGGCCGCCTCCTGCATGCCTCCCACTGTGGATGTGTCCTGACTGGGAATTGAACCGGTGATCTTGGTGCATGGGTCGACGCTCAACCAGGGAGCCACACGGGCCGGGCAACCACTTAAATCTTTAACAACCTGTGTGTAACCCTGATGTCAAGGTGAACAGCATACTCCTACTTAAGACAGTTCAGCTTCAGGAAAATACTGGTGGTCCAGAGAAATCAGACTGTCTGGAGCTCCACAGACGTGTGAGCTCTGCTCTCTGCTCGCTGTCATGGTGGCCGAACTCGTCAGAGAGCATGCTTTCACAGACGACAAGATGATCACCCTCAGGACGAAAGGCTACAGGAAAACTGAATACGCAGGCCACCCCTCTCTGCCGAGCGTGCGCCGCCCCCGCCGGACCTCAGCTGCAGCGTGAAGAACAGAACTCCGGGACCCAGGACCAGGCAGCGAAGGGCTGTTGAAAGGGCAGAGTCACCGTCCTCCGAGGGCTGAGGCTCCTCTGTGCTGCTCTGACAGCAGCGTCAGAAGAGAGACCCTCAGAGTGACACTCCAATGACTCCGTTCCAGTGTGGAGTGTGGACAGAAGGACGGCACAGACAGATGCTCCTGCGCCAAGCTGAGGACAAAGGTCTCTGGACTCCCACGCCCCGTCATGTCTCCCAGCCTTCACCCCGCGTGTCTCTGCTGGAAATCAACAAAGCCTCCACATTCTAGATTGGAAGGTTGTGCCTATCAGCAGGGTAACAGTTCTGCAAAATATGTACTTCCAACGTGGTGGATTCTAATTCAGAAAAGTGCTCTGTAGGCCTAAAAGCACATAAAAGAGGTGTCTCACCAGCATCAGGGACAAAGAGAAAGGCAGATGTTTACTCAGGGGGCGGGCGGGGGTGGGGGGGAACCTGCGGGAGGACGAAATACACATCCCAGGCACGGCAATCTACCCGGCTGCCGTGCACCCACCTGTCCCGCCCTCCCCCCACAGGACAGCAACGCTCCCTCCCTGCACGTCCCAGAGCTCATTCCCCAGGAGACAGTGGCGCCGTCCAGCCCCCAGCACGGCAGCCACGAGCCACATGTGGCCAGGGAGCCTTTGAGATGTGGCTCATGCAACTGGGGACCTGCATTTTCAGTCTCACTCGGTGGTGCCGGCTCTGTCATAATTTAACAAGGACACGTGCAGGGGGCAGTGTGGGCTCTCCCATCCCCCGTCTTCCCACTGCTGCTTCTGCCCTTCTCTCCCATGAACCCTGCTCCGTAAGTCTCAGCTTTAAAAGGCATGGGAAACCCCGCCTCCTCTGTAGGAGCCTCCAATTTGCCAGGGGTCGCTCTCCTCTACTCCAACGAGATTCCGCAAATATTTCCCACGTTATCTGTCATCTTGCATTATTCTAATGATCTGTTCGTTTATCTGCCTCACTTGAGGGCAAGAATATTTTTCCTTCTCAAATCCAAATTCGCTTGGCAAATGCTAAAAACATTTGCATATACTTTCCTCTTAACACTCACATTTGCTTATCCAATAAATCATCAGTACGTGGTACACAGGTATTTCTCGGCAGTTTATAAGACTTAGGTTCAGCATGCCCCTTGGCTGACCTTAGCTCTGATGGCCGTGTTACTGGACTGACCTGTGTGCCCCCGAGTGGGCATAGTGGGTGCACGCCCACAGCCGGGAATCCAGGAAGGCAGAACCTCACTGCACGAGAGCTGCTGACTACTTGTGATCTCTTAGCTCACAGTTACGGGCTAAGTCCTCACTCTGGGTTTCAACGCTACGCTGTGTTTGCCAGGTGTTTGTAAGTCCTGTGCTGCCGGAGGGCAGTTCATTGAGGAGATTCATGAAGGGATCTGGGGAGCTGCCAGGAAGGTCTAGGCAGCAAAGAGAAGCACAAGGCACGTCATGTGGCAAGGTCACAGCTCAGCCCTGTGTGGCCACGGGGACACAGAACACACAGAGGCCTTGGATGGAGAGGAGCAGGGGGCTGGGCCAGAGCAGACGTGACTCTGAGGCCTGAGGCCTGGTCTCTGCGGGGACAGTCGTCAGAGAAGCAGGGCCATCCACCAACAGTCCTTCTGTCCTCACACAAGCCTCCCACTGGTCCTGGGGTCTCTACGCCCCAAGGTGCTGCACGTCTGCAATGGCAGTGGGGGGGGGGTGCACAAGTCGTGTAGGGCTGTGTCATCCGATTCTAAAAACCAAGCTCCTGATGGCATCCAGCTCACGAGGGAGAACAGCCACACTGAGGTTTAGAAGCCGGGGTCAGTGAGGCTCACCCCAGAGGCGGCGTCTGCTCCCACACTCCCATCCCACCCAGCTGACACGGTGCCCAGTAATCCTACACCTTCAGGGTCAGGCACAGAGAACTGGAACTGGGAACTTTAAATCTATAAATGCCAAGAACCTGTTCTGTGCCCACTTCTCATTCTACATAACCCCACTCCAGAGAATGCTCAATATGTTGCCATGGATACGAGCTGAGACTAAGGGGCATGTGACCTGCGAGAAACTGACTTTATCCTCCTGATACTGTTTTCCATCAGCAAAACCAATACGGCCACAAACAAACAAGTAGCATGAGTGACCGCAGGCCATCACAAAAAGGCAGTCTGAAGAGTCATGAAGAAAGAAATCTCTAACTATGGGAACCTGGTGGGGGATGGGAGGCAGGAGGACGTCCCTGCCACAGACAAGTAGGAAATGCACTCCACACTCCAGGGAGAAGGGCAATTAGAGGCGCTGGAGTAAAAAAAAAATAGTGAGCCCGGCTGGTGTGGCTCAGTAGTTGAGTGTGGACCCATGTACCAGGCGGTTGCCAGTTCAATTCCCAGTCAGGGCACATGCCCAGGTTGTGGGCCTGATCCCCAACGGGGGGCATGCAGGAGGCGACCAATCAATGCTCTCTCTCGTCGATGTTCCTATCTCTCTCTCCCTCTCACTTCCTCTCTCTAAAGTCAATAAAGAAAAAAAGTTTTTTTTTTAAATGTGAGTCATGGCTAACTTGACCAGCACAGTGACAATGCATACTATAAAACGGAATTACACAGTGAAATTTTCAAATGTGGTCAAGTAAACTTAATCAGACATTTCCATTTTGAAATAATAAGGTTCCTTCCTGTGTGATAATTTTAATTCACATTTGAGCACATTTAGTGATCAACAAAAAGAGCACACAACATCTGCAAAGTTCCTTTAATTGTGGTATCCTAAAAAAATCTCCGTGAACATTCCCGATGAAAAGACAGAAACAGGCAGCGTGAGGAAAACAAGGCCACTGTGGAAACAAAACTCATTTGAGACTCATTTTTCATCTCATCACGTTGGAAGAGAGGAATGACAATGGCCTACCTAAAAGTGGGGTTCAATCCAGTGCCTTCTCCTCACCCAGGAGACTATGGCCTTGGGAAAGGTCATGGGTCTGTGCTCTGGGTGAAGTGTACGCAGGTGGCTCCAGCTCCCTCCTCACAGGCGTGGGGGCTCAGGGCGAGGGTCCCAGACCACCCAGTCTAACCCCTGGCCTCAGAGACCAGAAAGCGCAAGTCCAGAGAGAGTGCCTTTCTCATGGCAACGGATCATGCCCTGGCCCAGTCTGAGCAGGGCATCCAGTGGCAGGCCTCACTCAGGCTCCTGCTGCTGCACCCTGCCTGGTGAGCCCCGCCCTTCAGGGCTCCTGGCCCTAATGCTGCACCCTGCCTGATGAGCCCCGCCCTTCAGGGCTCCTGGCCCTAATGCTGCACCCTGCCTGATGAGCCCCGCCCTTCAAGGCTCCTGGCCCTAAGGCTGCACCCTGCCTGATGAGCCCCGCCCTTCAGGGCTCCTGGCCCTAATGCTGCACCCTGCCTGATGAGCCCCGCCCTTCAGGGCCCCTGGTCCTAAGGCTGCACCCTGCCTGGTGAGCCCCGCCCTTCGGGGCCCCTGGTCCTAAGGCTGCACCCTGCCTGCAACCTGCCTGGTGAGCCCCGCCCTTCGGGGCCCCTGGTCCTAAGGCTGCACCCTGCCTGGTGAGCCCCGCCCTTCGGGGCCCCTGGTCCTAAGGCTGCACCCTGCCTGGTGAGCCCCGCCCTTCGGGGCCCCTGGTCCTAAGGCTGCACCCTGCCTGCACCCTGCCTGGTGAGCCCCGCCCTTCGGGGCCCCTGGTCCTAAGGCTGCACCCTGCCTGATGAGCCCCGCCCTTCTGGGCTCCTGGTCCTAAGGCTGCACCCTGCCTGGTGAGCCCCGCCCTTCGGGGCTCCTGGTCCTAAGGCTGCACCCCTGCATGGTGAGCCCCGCCCTTCTGGGCTCCTGGTCCTAAGGCTGCACCCTGCCTGGTGAGCCCCGCCCTTCTGGGCTCCTGGACCTAAGGCTGCACCCTGCCTGGTGAGCCCCGCCCTTCGGGGCTCCTGGTCCTAAGGCTGCACCCTGCCTGGTGAGCCCCGCCCTTCGGGGCCCTGTCCTAAGGCTGCACCCTGCCTGGTGAGACCCCGCCCTTCTGGGCCCCTGGACCTAAGGCTGCACCCTGCCTGGTGAGCCCCGCCCTTCTGGGCTCCTGGACCTAAGGCTGCACCCTGCCTGGTGAGCCCCGCCCTTCTGGGCTCCTGGTCCTAAGGCTGCACCCTGCCTGGTGAGCCCCGCCCTTCGGGGCTCCTGGTCCTAAGGCTGCACCCTGCCTGGTGAGCCCCGCCCTTCGGGGCCCCTGGTCCTAAGGCTGCACCCTGCCTGGTGAGCCCCGCCCTTCGGGGCTCCTGGTCCTAAGGCTGCACCCTGCCTGGTGAGCCCCGCCCTTCTGGGCTCCTGGACCTAAGGCTGCACCCTGCCTGGTGAGCCCCGCCCTTCTGGGCTCCTGGTCCTAAGGCTGCACCCTGCCTGGTGAGCCCCGCCCTTCTGGGCTCCTGGACCTAAGGCTGCACCCTGCCTGGTGAGCCCCGCCCTTCGGGGCTCCTGGTCCTAAGGCTGCACCCTGCCTGGTGAGCCCCGCCCTTCTGGGCTCCTGGACCTAAGGCTGCACCCTGCCTGGTGAGCCCCGCCCTTCTGGGCTCCTGGACCTAAGGCTGCACCCTGCCTGGTGAGCCCCGCCCTTCGGGGCTCCTGGTCCTAAGGCTGCACCCTGCCTGGTGAGCCCCGCCCTTCGGGGCTCCTGGACCTAAGGCTGCACCCTGCCTGGTGAGCCCCGCCCTTCGGGGCTCCTGGACCTAAGGCTGCACCCTGCCTGGTGAGCCCCGCCCTTCTGGGCTCCTGGTCCTAAGGCTGCACCCTGCCTGGTGAGCCCCGCCCTTCGGGGCTCCTGGTCCTAAGGCTGCACCCTGCCTGGTGAGCCCCGCCCTTCAGGGCCCCTGGTCCTAAGGCTGCACCCTGCCTGGTGAGCCCCGCCCTTCAGGGCCCCTGGTCCTAAGGCTGCACCCTGCCTGGTGAGCCCCGCCCTTCGGGGCCCCTGGTCCTAAGGCTGCACCCTGCCTGGTGAGCCCCGCCCTTCGGGGCCCCTGGTCCTAAGGCTGCACCCTGCCTGGTGAGCCCCGCCCTTCGGGGCTCCTGGTCCTAAGGCTGTACCCTGCCTGGTGAGCCCCGCCCTTCGGGGCTCCTGGTCCTAAGGCTGCACCCTGCCTGGTGAGCCCCGCCCTTCTGGGCTCCTGGACCTAAGGCTGCACCCTGCCTGGTGAGCCCCGCCCTTCGGGGCTCCTGGTCCTAAGGCTGCACCCTGCCTGGTGAGCCCCGCCCTTCGGGGCTCCTGGTCCTAAGGCTGCACCCTGCCTGGTGAGCCCCGCCCTTCGGGGCCCCTGGTCCTAATGCTGCACCTGCCTGATGAGCCCTGCCCTTCGGGGCTCCTGGTCCTGAGGTGGAGAGGCAAGCACATCCCTTTCCGTGGTGTGGTGTCTGTCAGGACTCCAACACCCGTGCTATCCCTGACCACCTTCACACTGAGGCAATCATGGCCTGGTGATGCTGAGGTCAAACTGGACCAGTGCAAATAATCTCAGTGTATTTCTCTGCTTGTTAAAGTAGCTCAACCTGGCTACAGAACCACATTATTAAACAATAGGAGACAGAAAGCATAACGTCCTATACATCAGTCAATAGAAAGAACACACCTTTCCCTCTATGTCCTGGAAGGTTTCCCTAAACTATAAAGGCAATGTTAGCAGGACTCACTACTGTTACAGGCACTCAGCTACGTCTATGAGCCATTCCCAGGAGGCTGAGAGATAATGTATGTAACTGTGTTGACCCTTGATTGCACAGCTAATGGTATGCCAGGGTCAAGGGTGCAGTGGCCATGTTCTCAGCTAATGTACATGCCTTACCTGAGGCCCAAATGCAGTAAAACCAAACCAATGAGGATATTTAAAAAGACAAACCTAGTACCCCAGGCAAGGATCAGACCCTAACACTTTAGATAAACACTGATAACCTAGATCGCAGCCTCTACAGGCCATTCTCGAAGGAAGTACCATAGAAAAGGGAAAACGATTTACAGTAAAGGTTCAACATCTACTGAAGACAGACACTCTACATGCACATGCTCGTGCGGTAAGACCGGCTCACTGGGAAGTGCTTCCCTCCAAGCATATAAGCGGAGACACTTGGTGTGAGGGCTGGGCCCACCATTTCCTGCCCGGGTGACCTGGAGCAGGGCCCTCGCCACCAGGGCTATTTCATCAGCTATCAGGTGGGGGCGAAGGTCACATGGGACAATGAAAGTAGAGCCCAAGAGTGCGAGCAAATACCAGTTCTCCTTACAGGTTAACAATAGGTCCTACACGATGTTTTCCTAACCTAGACCCATAGGACTGGCATCCTGTCAAGGCAGAGAGGACCCCATGTTATCTACATCGTCCTGCCCTGGCGGGGCAACAACTATGCTGAGGCCCACTCTGTGCTGTGTTGAATCCTCCGTGGGTGAACAGGTGACGGCTGTGGTCCCCGCCCTCGGGTGCCCGCACAGCAGAGCAGAGCACAGGCAAACAGGCGGCCGACGCCAGCCAGTCTCATGCCACTGGAATCAAGGAGCGCTGTCCTTGGTGCTGGCACTTTAAATCGTTTACAGAAGAGTGTTGTCATTCTGGTGGGTGAAAGACTTCTTTAAATAAATAAAGTATTTTAAAATTCAATCAAAAAACACTTAGCCGGTCCCTCGTTCAGGAAACAATTCATTAAATGTGCATTCAGAATGAGAATATTTTCCTTGAGTGATTACAATGAAGATTCAGACAACCCTATTTACAGTTTTATTTTCAAGCTTATCTCCTATGTGGTAGAAACTCAAAAACCAATTAATCAATTTAGTGCCATTACCCAAACGCTTGCAGAAGACACGCAAACCGCTCGAAGCCTAGGCTGCTGAGGCAGGGTCCACAGCAGGCTGGTCACCAAGCGCGTACTTCAGAATGTACAGATACCCGTGCATCTGCATGTACAACAGACCCCTGCGGCAGTCAAATCAGGGGGTCAGATGGAGAGTAAGGTCGAAATGGAGTTGGCTGCCCAGCTGGTGTGGTTCAGTTGGTTGAGCTATGTCCTTTGCACCAAAAGGTAACTAGTTCGATTCCCAGTCAGGGCACCTGCCAGGGTGGTGGTTCAATGCCCGGTAGGGGGCATGCAGGAGGTGGCCCACAGATGTCTCTCCCTCATGGGATGTTTCTATCGCTCTCTCTCTCTCTCCCTTACTCTCTCTCTGAAATCAATAAAAACATATTTTACAACATGGAGGTGGCTACGTGTTTTGGCATGTTTACCCAGAATAAATACTGAGGTTTTGCAATCTCATCACAATGTCAAGAAGTAGGTCAGAATCAGAGAGGCTGGCGACCGGCCCAGGGTGCTCAGGCTGCTACTTCCCACCGGCCTGGTTCAGACAGAGGGACACGTGAGCTGCTGCGACCCCTTGGGACATAAACGTGAGACGCACAAGGGGAGCTGGGTCATTCGCGCGTCTGTAACGGGGACACGCCCTCTTCGGCGGTCACACAGAGCAGAGACTCCCGGGGCACCCTAGCAGACTGCCTGTCTCCGCTTCGTCTGCTACGGACTGTGGCGCCCTCCCACCCACAACTGAGCCAGACGCTCCCACGTAGTGGCTGCTGTGGGGGGGAAGGGCGCGGGGAGCACCCACCTGTGCAGGGAGCATGTGCTTGGTGCCGTACAGAGAGCGGCACATCTCCAGCACCTCGGCCCCCAGCGCCTCCTTGTGCTCCCTTGCGCCTCTGGTCAGCATCACTGTAGCAAGTCTCACCCAAGGATTCTCCGTGCGGCTGGTTCTACGGGAGAAAAATGCAAGACACTGGAAATGATTAAAGCTGTGTCAACCGCGATAAGGCATTTTCAAATAGAAAAAATCCCACTTTTGAAGCAGAACACTTTTGACAAATTGCACTCATGATCCGGAAGACGTGACCCTTCAAGTGTGCCCTGCAGGAGAGAAGATCTCACGGAGGAGCCCACGGAGGAGCCTGCAGCTGGAGGCGGAGGCACGGGCGCTCGCAGCCCCAGCCGCGGGGCTCACTCTGGCTCCCTGGCTCCCTGGCGGACTGAGAGGACACGCACACTCTGCGCCGGGTGGGCGGTTCCAAGGAAGCCACACAACCTTTCTGGGCCTCGGGGTTCCTCCCCGTGAAAAGGCACTTCAGCGTCTGCCCCGCGGGGCTGCTTTGTTTAATAAGCCGTTTGCCATTGTGAAGGGTCACTCTTTTTTTTTTTTTTTTTCATGGTACATGCCCCTAGCGGGAACCAAACCCAGGACTCTCTGGTCCGCAGCTGATGCTCAACCACTGAGCCAAACTGGTGAAGGGTCGCTCTTGCTAGCAGACCCACCTTATGACTTACTACCCGATACCAGCTTTTCCTAATCATGGTGACTCTGACGACTCTGACCCTGGGGTCGGCAGGGTAGACAGCAGGGCAGGCACTGGGGAAGCCACACCGCAGCAGGGAGCGCTCGCTGAGCTTCAATCGCTCCCTAGTTTCTAAGACTTACAAGCATACAAAGTTGCCTTTTGTTCCCTTTCTCTGGCCGCCACCATCCGGTTTCACAAAAACACCAGGATTTACATTTCCAGGGACCGGGAACAGGGTGCTGGATCACTCAGCACTCCTGGGCCTGGGAGGGGAAGCTCTGCTGACCTCCCGGTGCAAACAAGGCGCTCGGTGCTGGTGCGGGCTGCACAGGGTCTGCTCTCACCCACGGACTGGCCCTCGCTCTGCTGACCTCCCCGTGCAAACAAGGCGCTCGGTGCTGGTGCGGGCTGCACAGGGTCTGCTCTCACCCACGGACTGGCCCTCGCTCTGCTGACCTCCCCATGCAAACAAGGCGCTCGGTGCTGGTGCGGGCTGCACAGGGTCTGCTCTCACCCACGGACTGGCCCTCGCTCTGCTGACCTCCCCGTGCAAACAAGGCGCTCGGTGCTGGTGCAGGCTGCACAGGGTCTGCTCTCACCCACGGACTGGCCCTCGCTCTGCTGACCTCCCCGTGCAAACAAGGCGCTCGGTGCTGGTGTGGGCTGCACAGGGTCTGCTCTCACCCACGGACTGGCCCTCGCTTTCCTCTTCCCAGGTCTGGGCCCAGTGCCCGGGGGTCCTGACTGGCCCCCTCAAGGAAGAGCACGTCCCACAGAGCAAGAGGCTATCAACACTGATGAAGATGACGTTTCACCCATCAGTCACGATGCACCGGATGAAAATGTGAATTTTCCATAAGTACAAATCTATTGTACTTTCCTACGGGGAACTAACACTAAAAAATCTAAAGTTGGTGCTATTAAATTAGCAGTCATAAGAATCGGACTGAGTAAATCCCTAAGTTTTTTTGTTTTTGTTTTTGGTACGCGGCCCTAGCAGGAACCAAACCAGGGACTCCCTGGTCCGCAGGTCAACGCTCCAACCGCTGAGCCAAACTGGCCAGGGCTGTTTGTTGTTTTTTTTTATTTTTTGGTATTAGAGAGAGGAAGAGGAAGGGAGAGAGAGAGAAACATCGATGAGAGAGAACATAGATAGGACGCCTCCTGCATGCCCCCCACTGGGGATCAGGCCCACAACCTGGGCATGTGTCCTGACTGGGAATCGAACCAGCGACCTCTTGGTGCATGGGCTGATGCTCAACCACTGAGCCACACCAGCTGGGCAATTCCTAAGTTTTTAACTCGATTTTGTTGACTGGCAACATCAACCACTGTCACAAACCCTCCCTCCTCCAGCCTTTCGCTCTCCCCCTCCCCCTTTTCTTGTCTTGGTTATGTTGGAAGTGCCAAACTCATACACTGGATTGTCAAAAGTACTCCTGAGAACCTGTTTTTAAAGTGCCCCATCGTATGTCCTCCTGGGTAGACACAGCGGGAGCCTGAGAGAAAGCAGAAGCAGACAGCTGTCCCTGACTTGCTGTTCCCTCTCAGACGGAGGACACGGGGCGGGGCGGGGGTAAGCAGACGGGGAATGCTTTGTTCTAGTCTAACAACTGCACAGCAGAGGACTGTAAAACAGGCTAGCAATTAGCAAATTTCATTTCATATGTGACTACAAGAAATATACCTTGAAAAATTAAGATTTTTTTGGTGTCCACAAATACATGAAATGTTCACACACGGTGAATGTTTTGGGGGACGCGGACTGCTCCTCGGTGAGCGAGGGATCTGAGGTGGTCAGGCCTAGCATGAGAGCAGCCGCGACCACAGCCACCAACCTCCCGGAGCTGTCCCGTCTCGAACTTGGAAAACGCTCGACTGAGAGATCCGCTTTGAGGGCATGAAGACACCCTGGCTGACCACCTGCCGAGGGGGTCCCACGCTGCGTCACACTATCACCACGTGGACTTGTTCAGAAACTCATTCCCGGCCCCTGCAGGACTGGACTCAGCCTGCCCGGCCCGGTCTCTGCTCTGACAAGCACCCCGTGGTCTAGAGGCAGCCCCGCCGACACCGCGGGGGAGCAGATGGAAACGCTGGCCCGATGTGGTGTCACAGGAACGAGGTCTGACCACCTGTCCTCAGAAGCCGTGCGTCAGCATGCCATCTCACGCGGATGACAGAGCTCTAGGAAGGGTCACAGGGGACACTCAGTAATACTGTAATGACTACGCGTGGGGCCAGGTGCACATTCCAGGGAGACCACTCTATAAAGTACGATTGTGGGACCACTGTGTGTACACCTAAAACTAATACAAAATAGTCATGAATGCAAAATGTGATTGAAACAAAACCAAACCACCATTCCCGAGCCCCGAGTCTCATCCCGGGCCAAGGTGAGAGCCTTCCCAGGTGGTCCTCGGCGGCCCTGAGCTGCGGATTCTCCGGGAAAGCCTCCAGCTTGGCTGCTGCGGCCGCCTGGGCTGTGGGCCGGCGAGCGTGGGCCGGCGGGCGTGGGCCGGCGGGCGTGGGACACAGGCCCACGTGCTCTGCTCTGCCCATGGCAGACACCGTGTGTGCTCAGAGGAAAGCGGCCACGTCCTTCGAGGAACCCGGCTGCCGGCACAGCTGGGGCGGCCCCCACGCAGCTGCCAGGTCAGCGGGACATGCTGGGCACAAGGCAGCCAGTGCTCGGTCAGACTCCGCCTGTCACACACTAGCCAGGTGATGATGCCTCCAGTCAGTTAACGTCTGGACTTCAGTGTCCTCAGCTACAGAATGAGGTACCATTTCCGTCTCGTGTAGGGTTGCCGTGGGAACAGGTGTGTGCAAACTGCACATAACACTGTGTGATCTCAACAAATGGGAATTCTCAACGTCAGCATTATAAGCCACGTTAAAAGAGTCAAAAGAGCCCTGGCTGGTTTGGCTCAGCGGTTTGGCTCAGCGTGTGTGCTCAGAGGAAAGCAGCCACATCCACAGACCAAAGAGTCGCGGTTTCAATTCTGGTCAAGGGCACGTACCTTGGTTGCAGTTCGGTCCCCAGCCCTGGTTGGGTCGTGCAGGAGGCAACCAGTTGATGTGTCCTCTCTCACATCGATGTCTCTCTCTTTCTCTGTCTCTCCCACTCTATCTGAAGAAAAATGAAAAAATATCCTTCGGTGAGAATTTAAAAAAATAAAAATAGCCCTGACCGGTTTGGTTCAACGGTTAGAGCGTCGGCCTGCGGTCCACAGAGACCCGGGTTCGGTTCCTGCTAAGGGCACGTACCTCGGTTGCAGTTTGTCCCGGCCCTGGTTGGTCGTGTGGGTGGCAATCACTCAATGTGTCCCTTTCATGTCGATATTTCTCTCTCTCCATCCCACTCCATCTGAACAAAAAATGGAAGCATGTCCTCGGGTGAGGATATAAATAAACAAACAAACAAACAAATATAAAAAAAGTCAAAAGATTTCTGGTGAAAACTCTGGAAAAGAAGGATCTTGCCAACATCACAAATCGGATGTGATTACCAAACACTGTCCGGTGTTTTCGAATAAAATATGTGGGTTTGGGGGCCAGACGGACTTTATCAATTTCTTTCACTGGCCCTTCTGAAGGTAGAGTCCAGGAGGAGGAAGCGAGGCGCCCACGGCGCGGGACTACTTACGCGAGCTCCTGGCGCGTGGGCGGCCAGGCCTGCAGCAGCAGGGCCAGGTGCTGGAACTCGTGTGGCCGGCGGCTGGCCTCCAGCAGCTCCGCAAACAGTGAGCCGCGCCGCTCCTCGCTCTCCACGTCCGCCACGTCCACCTGGTGGAAAGCACACGTGAGACCGGGCGAAGGCTCGCGAGCCAGCGCATAGAGCACAGAGGGGATGATTTTGACCACACACTTGAAACATTTCACAAGGTGTTGCGGAAAGAGCCAACAGCACCTCTCCCCGCCGCATTCGAAGCGCTACACCTTTCCCACTTGAAACCACAAGTTAAAAACTGTTTGGAACAAATGACAGGATGAATTTTAATGTTCTTTCCCACATAACTTCAAACAGAACTGGCTTACTGGCACCCGATGCACGTGGCATCACGATGCCGGATGGTTTTAGAACTGTGGACGGAGAAGAGCTCCTACTCAGCACGAGCCTGTTGTTCCACTGCACGCGACCCTGCACGCATGTCTGCTTCTCGCTTAGCATGACTTCTGCTAAGTGCTCCTGTTGTCCAGGAAGTTTCTCTAATTTGAAATGGAAGATCTTACTAAAGTGCATTTGGCATTTGATATTTTTTCTACAAACTGAAATAAAGTCAAACACCCCCATTCTCGTCTCCATTTCTAATGTAAAAGGAGTCTCTGCAAATTGAGAACGCTCATGTCTCCCCTCCCCAAAGCGCTGGGTGACATCATTCTCACGTGGCGGCAGCCCCACACTGGATCACATCCTAGCAGCTCTGGGGACAAAAATGCTGGTTCAAGTTCGCAGGCAGTTTTCAATATAGAAGGAGACCAAAGGCTTCTTCCCTCATTCCCTGGCCTCCCTTGACACAGGCTCGGATGATACCTCGAAAGGTGATGAGGATGAATGGCTAACCTATACATTCGCTCAAATGTCTCCATTACTGCGTATTTCCAAAACACTGAATTGAGCGGTCGTTCTGGCTCTGATCCCCAAGCAGCCATCTGAAAAGGCCGTGCCACGCATCCTGCATTGCCACGGAAGGTGGAATTGTGAAATGACTGGTGACTGCTGTGGGCAGTCCTGCTCACACAGTGGCCGGTCAGGTCCTTCACACCCGCCCTGAAGCCTCGGGTCATTCTTCCGTAGAATACCTCAGAGCACCTGATAGTGTTTGAAATAACTGCATAATCCAGCAAGTCAGTTGACCCTTTCAGGAGTTTTGTGTGGAGAACAGCACAGGTATTCACCTCACTTTACGGATGAGAACACGGGCTCACCTGTCCCAGCGACGTGGCCGGCAGGCGGCAGGACCGAAGGACAGTTATAACCAGACCAGGGAGTTCTGAATCCAGAGACTCAGGAAGCTAAATGAGCTCTGAATTCTTTAAATTGGTCATCTAACTGGGAGTTTTGCAACAATTTCTTACCTGTTTAAAATGTTTTTGTAAAAACCTCGGACTCAAGCCATCCCTCCGTTGTGGCCAGACCTCATTCCACTGGTGTCCAGCCCCGGGCCCCTTAGGCTCCGCTCGTCAGCACAGGTCCACCCAGGACCCGGCCGTGCCCTCGGCCCGCACGCTCCCCCCACACGGCTGTACGGGCCTCACTTCCTTACATTTCTCCAGTGTCTCCTTACCAAGGGCGTGCTCACGGCTGCCCCCCTGCAGCAGCACCCCTGCCTACCTGTCTCCTCAACCGCCTGGTTTTCCTTCTCCGCACTGACAAGTATGAGACATGATAGATATTTGTTTATTCCTTTTCTTCTCCCATTAGAATGGAAACCCCTTCAAGTCGGAGACTTTTATGTGTTCACTGGCTTATCCCCACCGCTTACAATAACGTGGGACAGAGTCAATGCGTAGCAAGCGCCGACTGAGCGGAAGGACATACTAATGAACAGCTACACAAATGAATGAATGAACGCCATCGTTTAGAAAATATCTTAGCACGGAATGACATCAAATGTTCCTAGAGTTGCCATAAGTTTTGGGCTGTTCTTTTTAAATTAAAGAGAGACACATGGTTTAAAAAGATGCCACCAAGAAGGAAGGGGTTGGAAGACCCAGAGGCGGCATGCTGACCGACGCCACCTCCGCCACCGGCCTCGTCTGGCGCGCTGAGCCCAGCAGGCGCTGAGCCTCCTTGTCCTTGTCCGAGACATGAGGTCTCCGCAGGGCTGCAGCTGGTAAAGGCTGCTCTTTCCTTCCTGAGTTACAATCGAAGTTTTCACAGAGCTTATTTGTAGAGAACATCTGGCATGTACAAAATATTTAAAGACAAAGAAATGCTATGTCTCTGATGTTCTTAGCAGTGTCAAAATCCCAGTTCCTATAATTAGCTGCAGGGTAATTAAGAATAGTAAGTTTCCCCTTTACTTGACACGCAGAGTATGATGGGTTATTTGCTCCAGACCATAAAAACGAAGAGATCAGGAGAAAGCGACTCATGTTTTCAGTATCAGATTTCTTTCTTTTCAGAAAGTGTAACAGCTTGTACGTGTTAAGTACATTAACTGTCATAAGAGATGAAAAGAGAAAAGAAATTATAAATTAAACTTTCATATGTTTGTTTTTATATTAGTGTGCAAATAATAGTTTCCACTTTAAAAAGGTTTGGTAATAAATGTCTTTGTCTAACACATTTCTAATGTATGCACAGACTTTTTACAAGTATGTCTTTGTCGGGAAACATTTTCTTCTGAATGCTCACTCATCACTGCAACTGTTAGTGACTTTTCAGAGCACTGATCCCCAATTGTAAAATACAAAGGTGAAAATCACAGTCACAGACACAGTGTGTGCGTGCCTGCACCCCCGTCGCCGAGGACTTGTCAGGAGCTCAGCTCTCAGGAAAGCGCGTTTCAATTCTCTACCACTGTAGCTGCAGGAACTTTACCTTCTGTGAGAGATCTGTGTCCACATAATATTTAACTTCATCGCCCTGGCTGGTTTGGCTCAGCGGTGAGAGCGTCGGCCTGCGGTCCTGAGAGACCCGGGTTCGGTTCCCGCTAAGGGCATGTACCTCGGTTGCAGTTTGTCCCCGGCCCTGGTCGGTTGTGCGGTGGCACCCACTCGATGTGTTCCTTTCACGTCGATGTTTCTCTCTCTCTCTCTCTCTGTTCCTCTCTCTCTCTCCCACTCTACCTGAACAAAAAATGGAAAAATGTCCTCTGGTGAGGATTTAAAAAAAAAAAAAAAAAATTCTGACCAAAACTCCAAATGAATTTTCATAAAGATAAAAGGTACACATATGCACAGAACTTCCAGCCTAGACAAAGCAGTTTTGACCCATTTCTCCCTATTCCTCTCTGAGAAGCACAAAAATAAACTAGGGAAATAACAGAGAAGACAACCCAAGGAGGACTCGTCGTGGTTCTCCATGAAACCACGCTGGTCTGAGGCTCCGGGACTGGGGGACAGTGTGGGACAGAGCACCGGGCATCCCTTCACCCAGTGGGAGAAAGACACTCAGCCCCAGGGCTTCCTGACTCTGGACCTGAGAAGAGAGCCCAGGAACGGTCACTTCTCACCAGAGTTCCGAAGAAACGGGAGGAACGGAGTACAGCTGAAAGAGTATTTTAACAAACAACATCTAAAGACTCCCCAAATTTGGTGGCAAATACAAACCTACAGATTTAAGAAGCTAAACTAACCCCAAACAGAGTAAGCCCAAAGAAGTCCATGCTAAAAAATCACAATCAAACTCTAGAAAATCTGAGTCAAAGAAAACAAACTGAAAGCAGCCTGAAAAAACAACACATTCTCTACAAGGAACAACAATTTGAATAACAGCAGATTTCTCATCTGAAACCATGGAGGCTAGAAAGAAGTGGCACAATATTTTTCAAGAGTTAAAAGAATTGTCAATTACAAATTCTATATACAGCAAAACTGTACATTAAGAGGGGAAATAAAACATTCTCACATGAAGAAAAACTTTTAAAGAAATCTATCACTATCAGTTCTCATCTTAAAGACTGGCTGAAGGAAGTTCTTCAAACAGAAAGGAAATGGTGAAAGGAACATTGGAGCATCATCAGAAGGGAAAATGAAGAATGTAAAAAGAAATATGAGTATATACAATAGACTATCCTTTTTCATGGGAGTTTTCTAAATTATACAGTGATACCTCGGTTCTCAAACGCCTCGGTTTTCGACCAAATGGAGATTCAAGAAACTTTTGTCTCGGAATCCGAACAATATTTGGAACTCGAACTTCCGAGATGAGCCGAATGGCGTTCATTCGGCCCAGCGCGCCTTGCTTGCGTCATCAGTGTGAGTGCAGAGAGAGAGTCACGCTTTGTGGAGTCACGCTTTCCTATTGGTTTCATTGCTTCGGTTCTCGAACAATTCGGTTCTCGACCGTCCTCCTGGAACGAATTATGTTCGAGAACCGAGGTATCACTGTATTTGATGATTGGAACAAAGATTATAATAACTGATATTCAAGGCAATGCCATTTAATAGTGGGAAGGTAAAAAGACCCAAATTGAAGATATATTTCCACATTACATTGTGAGATAAGGATGTCAATTTCTATCACTCTTCTTCAACATCATACTGGAAGTTCTAGCCACCGAAATAAGGCAAGAAAAATAAATATAAGGTATACAAATGGGGGGAAATTTTTCTATTTACCGACAACATGGTTGTCTACTTAGAAAGTTCCAAGAAATCTTAATATTAAAAAAACTCAAAAGCCAAAAGCTAGAACTAATGAATAAGTCAGCAAGGTCACAAGAAGAGAATCAATGTACAGAAATCAAATTTCTATATACTAAAAACATGTGAACATTGACAAGAAAAATACACCATTTATAATTGCTTCAAAGAAAATTAAATATTTACATGTGCAGGATCTAGTTCTAAAAATTATAAAGTGTTTATGAAAGAAATCAAAGAAGATCAAACAAGTGAAGAGATACACCACATTCATGGATGGGACAACTCAACACCGTAAAGACATCAAGCTGATCTCTAGGTTCAATGCAATGTCTATCAAAATCCCAGCCAGGTTTTTTTTTTTTTTTTTTTAATCCTCACCCGAGGACATTTTTCCATTTCTTGTACAGATAAAGTGGGAGGGAGAGAGAGGAAGGGAGAGAGAGAGAGAAACATCGACATGAAGGGACACA